ATTTTGTACAAGATTTTAATCTTAATTTTATTCAGTTAAACGTCCAATAAGTGACAAAATATCAAAAAAAATTAGTTAGGCAAAACTTCTTGTTTTATTTTAAGTTTTGATTGTAAAACTTCCATTTCGTGAATAACCAAGGTTCGTCCTATTTCATCAACTTGTTTTTCGTAATTATGTATATCTGTTCTCAACTTTTGTCTGTTTTCTTCATTTTCTTCCAATTTTATTGCGTTCTTACTTTCTTTTATTTTTTTAAAAATGTCTTTTTTTTGTTTGATTAGAGACTTTTTTTTTCTTGTAAACTTTTATTTAAAATTGATTCTTTTTTTTTCATATTTCTAGCTTTTGCTCTTTTTTGTTTATTCTGTAATACTTTTTGTTCCTTTTATTTCTTTTCCGTTTCTTTCTTTTCTAATTATTAGTTTCTTTAATTTCTAATTTTCTTATTAGTCTGTAGCAAATACTTTTGTACAGAATCCAACAGCAAACCTTTGGTTACTGGAAATCCTGTAGTAGCACAATAAATAATCCAGTTAACAATTTGATCTTCGTCATCTTTTGAAAAAAAAATTGGATGTCCTGCTTTACTGTCTATTGGTGATAAGCCCTTATATATTTTGCAAACAACGTTGATTTTGGAATATCAAAAACCCTAGAAGCCTCCCTCACTGTGAATTCCCTTACCAATCGAGTCAAGTGCTTTTGTTATATTTTCAGTTACACAGGTATTTTTTGCTTTTGAGGCTCGTAAAATTTTCTTTTTTATTATCTGTGATTTTGAACTTTTATTTTCCTTTTTTCTGGAATTATTTTTTGTGAAGGTACTTTTAGATCTCACAGATTCCGATTTTTTGATCTTGGACATTTTGTTAGATTTTTTCTAAATATTTACAATTAAACCTGTAATACTTTATAATAAAAATCTTGTAAGTACTTTGCGCAATAAATAAATACTTATATAAGTTGACATTACTTACTGTTTACAGTAGTATTAAGGTTATGATGTTTGTTTACATGTCGCATACACCCTCAATTGACTAATTACACTTGAATTTTACATGAAAACTGTTCCCCTTGATCTAATAATACACTTAACTGTTTAATTAAAGTGAAAAAAGTTAATTAACTAGTACTTTTTTACTGTAATAACTAAAAAATGAAAGTTGTGCCTCGCAAAGATATGATGTGTCCAATAATACCTTAAGGAGTAAAAAACGTTAAGGTAAGTCGGGACACACCGTCCGGAATTGGCTCATCAGTATCGTACTTGTGAGGTAATGTGGGACGCGCAATTTTAAATTATCAAAGTTGTTTTTATGACACTATTTATGAATAAATTATTTCAGGAAACACTACACTAATCGTTGGAACATTTTCCGCCTACTTTCCATGTTATAAATCTTTTTTTAATCATATATGAGTATACACGGTCATCTCCCCGGCACGGAAGAAAACTTGGTTGTTTACGGCTGCCGTCAGAACACCTTACAACATTTTTTTTCGCATTACTCTTTGCTGTTTTTTATTTTACTTTTTCGTTGCTTTAGATAAATAAAGGCTTGAAGAATATTGGGATATTTTTTTTTTTTTTTTTCAAGACTTGTTTATCATTTATAAATACAGTTTTTAGTCTGTGTCCCGAATTAGCTTAAGAATTTGAAGTGTCCCGAATTACCTGAATTTACCTTATAAGTACGCTCGATGCATCGCATCATGCTGTTCCGTTTTCATAGACATTTTCACCGACGCACGGTCAGGGAAAAATAAAATAAAAATGTGGTCAAAAGTATATGAAATACCTATCCGCGTGTAGTCACGCCAGGCACGCGGGCAGAGAGAGAGAGAGAGAAAAGAAAGGCAGCTGCAAGCAATGGACGGCTACGGGGCGTCATGATTCTGATTCGTTCCTCATCATCGTAGCGTGCACCGTAGTGAATTTTATTTTGAATTCACGTGGCATGGTTTGTACTGTTCGTATAGCAGCCGAGTTTAACGCACCCCGGCTCGCGACTCAAGGTCGCCACGGAGCGAGGGAGGCGCGCGACATATGTGGAATAATGCAAGAGGAGTGGGGAATAGATGTACAATGAGCAATGCAATGCGGCGTGATTGCCGTGCGCGCTTTTTTCCCAATATTACATGCTGTACCTATACCTAAGTACTTATACCTATATCGAGCTACTGCTGTTGAACATCCGGAGGATGGCTCACGCCCTCGCGTACGTGCATGCACGTGAGAATTGAAGAAGGCACTCGCGACAGGAGGGAGAGAAAAATGCCCGAGCGCGAATAGTTTTCAATAATTAATAGAAATATTGCTGCAGCTGTCGACAGTTGACCAAGAGGCAACAATGGGACGAAAAAAAAAAAAAAACTTTATGTGGTGTTGCAGCGTCATTGTTAGTTCTTATTTACGGTATTAGTTATACCTCACTTCATTTGAGTCTTTGCCCTTTTCATTGAGGTTATGTAGGTTTATTCTCTTTCTGTCTCTCGAGTTTAGAGTCTCGCTGCAATTCACAAAATTTTATGGTCAGAATTGGCACTTGAATATACATACGTGCCCAACGTGTTATTACGTTTTATTAAACACAAGTATTGAAATACAAAAAAAACAGGATAAACATACCTATACACTACACCCAGTCAAGCTTTATCAGACGGGATGGGCTCGACATGATAGGGAAAGAGGAAAAAGGTGGTGTTGAGCTATTATCAGCTTGCCGGCACGGTTCTTGGGTTTAATTGTGAGTACGAGGAAGGTGTTATCAGCCCACGGGATCTACCATACTGACAGAGCTCGTAAAGTTTGTAAAACAGGATGTATACACCATATTCGAGCTAGGACGCACCTTCGATGTTGCTAATAATAATGATGATAGTAAATATTGCCTGTATTTCTGGTGTTCTTTAAACGCAACAAACGATTTAAATACAATATAAAAACGCAGGAAAGTAACACGCAGGCAATGCAGTTGAGCGTTGTGTGTCAAATAAATGGAAAAAAAAAAAAAAACCCTTATTCTCCACGATTAGCACTAAATTCAATGTAAAGTTAGGTGGAGTTCAATCATGCCGATCATTTAATATTAATTTAGTTGTACATGCAGTTGCTCGGCGACTCTTCGACTCGTCTCTGACGTAAGTAAGCAATTAATGGTACGTATACATGCAATTATTATTGCCTGCGTGATAAAAGAGTACTTGAAATAAAAATATGCACGGGTGGTGGAAAAATTTTGGTTTCATACCGTCATTTATAAATAAACAGTGTTACTTGCGCGACATCGTTATAGTTGACGGGGATAAAGGAAAAGGGTCCACATTATGTCATACACACTATGAAACAATTAATTAGACACACATTATTGTTAAAACGGTTGCATAGCAAATGAGCTGCACCGTTTTTACCGACACTATAATATATAAGTAATACACAAGCTTGCCGATAAAACTTTTATTTGTAACTACTTGACGGTCTTGACTGCAAGTCACGAAAGGATGTATCCCTTTGTTTTACCAGCACGGCTGCCCCGCGCGTTTNTTACATACAAATATTTTTTTACATTATGGACAGGGTCCATAATTGGGGGGTCCACATTATGGGCAGGGTCCGTAATAGGGGGGTCCACGATAGGTTCAAAGTCCATCGAGGGGGTCCGTAATACGGACAAAATTTTTTTTTCTTGTTTCATCATTAAAATAAAAATAACAAAACTTTTTGATAAAAAAAAATTTGATGTTGTTAAAAAAGAATCAAACGACTTATACGTTATTATACAAGGTGTAGTTCTATTGACCGTTAGACACAAAATAAAGTTGAGACGAAATTTTTCTTAAAGGGTCCATAATTGGGACAGATACCCCTACTCAATGTACACACGTAACAACCCTGGAACGGATGCCGATGGTGCAAAAAAGCTGAATGGCTAGTTATGGATTTATGGATCATGAGAATACATTCATCCTTGTGAGCACGAACGGACTTTTTACAGACTTATGCTCGTGACGATAGGTGTGTATATATAAA